TTGAAGAAAGTTCATACAACCATGGCAGATCAGGTTCAGATGCAAGTAAGCAGTGGGGCTAATGGAAAAGAATAAAAATGTCATAGTCTTCAAGAAACGTCGATCTAGATGATTCTATTAAAATGTTGTGACTAGAGGACGTCTTTAAGACAGGTAGAGGAAATGGGGTGAGGTCTAATATACTTCTTGAAGAAAATGTAGGATAGTTGTGACTTTGTTTCACCATGCTCAAGAGAACCCTTCATAAATATACTAAATTAAAAAAACAAAATTTTGAGTCTGTAGAAAGTGGAAAAATCATGCAAAGTTGAAAGTAAAACTAGTACACTTATGTGTCAGCAGTTATATAACATGTACAGTATAGTCCAGTAGAGATAGCTCCTTCCCTCAGCAGCAGCCTAAGAGCATGGCATGCCTTGCATTAATCCAAACTTGTTTGAATTGCGGTGGCAATAGGATTCTGCTGACAAGTAAGTTGAGTCAAACAAAACAAGCATACAATATCAAGGAAGTTTCTGCTGACTAGCAAACACCATCAACGTTGTTAGGCATTTGTACATGGTACCAAAAACAGGTAAAGAACAGCAAACACATCAGTGGAAGGGATTCTCAGATGTCTGTAGTAATGCTGGAAGACCTCTTCCTTATGTACCTTGTTTCTGCAATAATCTTGTACACAGCGAATGCAAGCAGTGACGCAGGCAAACAGACTAGTAATTTTTTTTGCAGGCTTGGAGATTTTATACTATCCTCACGTTTGTATCATGCAGTGGCACATTTCATGCTTTTTTAGAAATGAACAGGATACTATGAAGTCTAACCCAACCTGTCTGCAGTGGATATTTATGCATAACTGTCTTTGCTTCAGCCTTGTTCCCTATAAGCTTGTAGGTACATATAGGGGACTTCGACAAAAGTCTGTAGGCTACAATTTGAATTCTAGTGGTGCCTTAGGGAAATAGAATTTTTGTGAGTTTTAAATGCAGTTTTAATTCAACACGATAAATAAACCAAATAAAGTTTATGCCCTTTGACAGCCTCCTCCCAAGTCACCAAAATATGAAACTGTAGAATAGTAACAACCAATAATCAGAATATGACCAGCATGATTTTTATACACAACTGGGACTGGTATTAGGCAAAAATCAAGACAGGCTGCAAATTTTAAGTATTTCTGGCAAAGAGCAGAATGATTTTGCTGGCACAGGCCCTTAACCCAGCACTGGGTTATTATTTGTGGCTTTATAAACTGATATAGCAATTTAAATTAAAAGTACAGTATTACATCTTCTTATTAGACTCTCTCCTTCCCACCTCCCAAACTAGGCAAATGATTTTTACCTGGATTCTTCAGACACTTGAGAGATTACATTGCAAAGAAACTTGTGACTCGGAAAAACAAAAGTTCAATTCACTGTTTCGAAAAAGTTCCAAATGGTAGGTGCTACTCCACTGGCATGAAGGAAAATCTCCCTCCCCTTATCAAGAATTTGTAATTTAAATTTTCTAATTTATATTGTTATGTTCCCAGCTCAGAAGACAAGACCCTTACTTTATAATTTCATATCAAAGAAACATAAAACCCACAATGGCGCAAACTTTTACATTGTGAATAAGAAAGGTACCATCAGTTCTCTTTTCTGAAAAACTGGTAAAGGAGAGAAATCTTTCTGTTAATTGCAAGTTTCATTGCAATTCAGTGGTAGACAAAAGACTTTTCTGAAGGTAAATATTTAAAAATTTTCAAATAAAACATCATCTTTCATGAACAAATCCATGATACTCTGCAGTTCACAGGGACAGGATATTGATAGAGGAGGCTTGGGGATCCCACACATCAGGTTGGTGTAATTGCAGTGGTAGCAGCAAACTGCTGCTGATGACCCCAGCCTCCAGGTGCACCAATGTCACAGAAGACTAGTTAATTGAATGACTCAGAATAAATTTCTTAGCCCAGCTGGTAAGAAGCAAGTAGAATATTCAGTTTCCAGAGACTACATTTACCTGGCAAATAGGTTATTACACAGAATATGACAATGATAATGTAAAATAGAAAAGAAGGAAAGAGTACTGTTCATATTCTTTTTTTATGAATACAACATGCACACACACACACGCAAATGTTTCTTAAAGAGGAAAAATTTAATTAAACATTAGTTTGTTTAAGAGAGTATGAGAACTGTCTTTGTTTTATGGATGTCAGACTTGGTGGTTTGGTATGAAACAAAAATTACATGACTGGATTGTTGCAGAGCTACAAGGTGAACAGAAAAAACAAGATGTATACTCGCTTGCAAGCATTCTGGCTAGTATCTTAACAAGTTCACAACTTTCAAATGATTCATCTTTCTTTCAGGTATTTAAGACAAAATTTTTATTTCCTGTTATTTCACTTTTCTGTGAGCTACAATAAAAATGCGGGGGTCTCATTTTCATTTACCCATGGATCCTTCCATACCACCTGGACTCCACTGTAACTGAGAATAAAGTCTCTTAACGCTAATTTTGTTTAATATAAAACAAATTCAGTTTTAATGTCCCAAGGTCCTAGGATTCCAAGATGTAACTAACTAGTAGTCTTAATGGAAACAAATCTCTAGAAACAGATGCATCTAGTAAGCAGCCTATTGCTAGGCTTCTTCCTCTGAAAAGTACTGTATTATAAGCAATAGAGGATCATACTGCCCAGGGGAATAAGGTCATAGCATCTACATTACTACATTTCTTAATTATTAACAATAATTTTATAATTTCATACCATTTCATGATCATTTTCTCCAAGATGATGAGCTAATTATTCATTTTAGGTACTTAGAATATGTAAGGATGCACATGTACCTTGCCAATATTTTGTCAGATACAGTTTGTTGAGGAATTGCCACATTATACAGGTATGTCTTCTATAACACCAGTGTTTTCGGTTCTCTCATTACTACATCAGAAGATCTGCTCTTGCCTTTGGGCTCATCTTAGATGTTCTGTTATTTATCTTCTTTGGTGGTATCTTCAATTGAGTTACCTGACTATGGAGGAATTATCATATGTTAATTCATTCACGAATACTGTAAGAAATGAGCTGGAAATTATGAGCTCTGAAGCTGTATGGAACTTAAAATATAAAACATTTTCAAAATCTATAAATATCAACTAGATAATGTAGTATTTGTGGAAAAATAATAAAATTCATTCTCCCAAAGATAAAATGCATTGATCTAATCATTGAAGAAGAAATGTTTGTAGGTTTGGATTTTTTTTTCAAGTTAAAAAGGAAAATAGCAATAGCTATACATGTACAATTCAAATTTAAGTTAAAAAAAAACTTATAATTTAGCCTACATTTATGCCTCTGAAATACCACAAGTTTGGCTAAAGTTAGTGGAAAATTTATCAGAACTACTTAGACAGGAAACTAACATAAAGAGCTTCCTTAGTAGTTCCAAAATACAGAACCACCATTTAACTCTAGTCATTCTTAGTCACAAAAATTCATCATCTTCAGCATGTCTCAGCCATTCTTACTCATTTGCCTTTATCCTTCAATCCATCTTTAAATCCCATTTGGTATCTATGCTCATTTTTACTGATACGTCTATTTAATATTACTAACAGGCAATTTATCTTTTTTTTCCACAGCAGGTTTCAACTTTGATTTTGTTATTCTTTTTCAAGACATAAAATATTTTTTTCAGTTTAGGAACACATAACTGGAAAAAATCTACAGGATCAGTCCTGCAGGTGATGTCAGAGAGAACTACTTTCTTAATTCCTTTACATACCAATCAAGTTCCATCTTACTCATCACTATTTCAATTGGAAGACTATTGCTGAACTTCACACCACCCGAGATTTCCTTTTACTTTTCAGCCTAAAATTTATTCATGGTCAAGTGCATCCATTCATATACCACTGTCCTTGGTTTATTCATAAATACAATTAAATATTCTTTTAAATTTTGCTTTGTTAAGGTCAACCAGCCATGCTTTTTAAAGCTTTACTTATGTGGCATTTTCTCAGTGTCTGAATAGCAAATGTTTTCTGCACTTCCAGTATTCCAGATTGTTTTGCACTAGAACCTGTATAATGCTATTAATATTCTTTCTATTTGGAAATAATCTCTTGATATCTTGCATATTTTTAAAATATATATATATATACACAAACCCCAAATCTACAAATTCATAAAATTTTTGTAAGTTATCACTCTTCTTAGGAGAGAGAAGACTAGCAACAGATTCAAAAACACTAAGAATTACTAACAATTTTGTGTCATGCATAAAAATTAATCCTTGTCTGTATTTTCTTGGAACCTACTAGTTTTTGGGTAATTTGTTATATTTTTTTTAGAGTACTCTAGATTGACAGGTTCTATAAATTGGATAACCTGAAGTATTTTACTTAAAAGTAACTACATTCAATGCCAAAATGATAAAGATTCAAAAACACTAAGAATTACTAACAATTTTGTGTCATGCATAAAAATTAATCCTTGTCTGTATTTTCTTGGAACCTACTAGTTTTTGGGTAATTTGTTATATTTTTTTTAGAGTACTCTAGATTGACAGGTTCTATAAATTGGATAACCTGAAGTATTTTACTTAAAAGTAACTACATTCAATGCCAAAATGATAAATGGCCATTTATGATACACCCTCCCCCCCCC